AGTGAAATTGCCAATTCCTTTAGGCAGACCAATGCTGCATCCAGCTGTGTTACGGGTCTCAATTATTAGAAGATAAAAAGAAAGTCATACTATAAAGATTAAACGACAAATCATAAATATATAACTTTAGGAAGTATTCAACCACATGACTTAATCTATTTCGATAGAGTATATTCCTCTTAAACACATTTAATATGAGAATTCCGACATCAATGGCATCCTTTGTTTCTTGATACTGTCAGACACGAGGTAACCAATTTCATCTCTGCACCTCACCAGGATACATTCACATCTAAGATGTCTGGTTCCGACATGGGCACCATCTCTCTCTGTGTGCGCACGTGTGTGAGAGAGATCTTTTTTTTGAAAAATTACCCATGCAAGCTTAAAAAGTGGCTCCATCTGCCATCAACTGGTAAGGAAGTACTTTGATGTTCAAACCTTTGCACATGGGCTTATTCTTATAAAAATTCACTTTAAAAAAACGGCATGTCAGGATGTTTGTTTTGCATAGCTGAAGGATTTATTTAAATAGGGATTTCAGAACTCCCAAGACACTACTGCACTGATATATTTCAGCAGCAAGTGATGTAAACAAATATCATACTGATACTTGTTACTTTTTTGGCTTGAGAACATGTGACCTGTTCATCATGCTTGAGTAGGATACATTCCCGCTGCACAACTAATAAGACCTCAAGACATAAGCTCATAAATCAAAATCAATATCAATATCAAAGTTTTCTTGGATTTTACACCAACCGATTTTCTCCCCTTGTTTCTCCTCTTCCTTCAAATTTCAAAATATAAAATGAAGGCCGGTGCTTCTGTAGTTCCCTCTCCTTTTTTTTTCAAATTCCAAAATTAATGAAAGATGATATCTTTTTTGCACCCTTCCCTTCTCTATTTTAGTCTTCTCTCTCCTTTTTTCATTCTTGTCTCACCTCTCTTCTGAAGCTTCTCCTTCGTTCTCACCACGCTCACATTATCACTCTTTCCCAAGGCTATATCCTTCTTCACCTACAAGCCAGAGACTAAAGATGTGGATTGAAATTACAGAAAATTTTCTTTGGCTATATTCGGTGACTTCTGTGTGTTTGCAAACCCATTGTTCTTGGTTTTGACTAGAACAATGTAAGAGTAGCTTTATCTTCGAAGTTGCAAAAGCTTGTTTCCAACTGAAAACCAAGCAGCCACATCATATATTTTGGACCCAAAAAAAAAAATGAAAACTATACATCACCAACTCTAAAGAAAAAGCCTAAAGGTGGCCTGTCATGCTGAACTTTAAAATGCGACATATCTTCCTCATATGTGTAATTAAGTCTGATATTAACCATATGTCTAATAAAGTCTGATATTAACCCAGACAATCACATCATATGTGTAAGTAAGTCTGATATTAACCCTTAAAAGTCACACAAATATTTCTATTACTTGAAACAAAAGATATCAGGTCCACTGTTGCTGACAACTAGTTTACCAGTCCTGCTGAAAGGGTAAGCAAAGCCTGTATCTTTAAGCTTGGTATGCAAACCGGAATGAAAAATACAGCAATCACTATATATTGAAGCAGGAGTCCTGAAAGATGACCAAATACCCAAGAGGATTTTATTTGGTGGCTAATGTTAATTATGAATTCATATTACCAAAAAGTATTTGAATCTACAGACTACATCCTCTTACTTAATGTTTCGTCAGTATTCGGAGAACTATATTAAAGGATTAGTATCACATAAAAACCAATCAACAAGGGGAATCCAGATGAATAGCGAAGTTTTTGATGAGGGAAGGAGAAGCCATCCTTAGTTCATATCAAATGCCAAGGCGATTGCAACATAGGCACAAAGAGAATGAAAGAGATTAGAAATGAAAAATCCTGCTTAAACTTAGAAAGGGATGGTTGAATGTATTTTAACCTTGCAAGACATTACATGCGTTCCAATTACAAAATTTGTAGCGGAAAAGTGGATGACAGATGCAGGGGGCGGGGAAGGAACGAGGTAATTATACAGTGTGCTTGGGGATATGTCCTGCGCCCTAAATGTGTTTTACTTTAGTAAAATGCAGCATCCTGCAATTTACTAGTAAAACGTGGCCACCCCCAAACGCACATGCACAAGCATTTCATTTTATATATGCCGGACAAAGACATGGCTCATGTTGAGGCATTCTTGCTGCTTCAGAGGCACAGTTTAAAATCCTTTCAGTTGGTTTGTTCTATATCTATCTTTTTTAGGTGTTTAAGACTTGAACCTTTACATATTGGGGTTCATATTCCTGATTCTTCTCTCCTGGAATTTTTAACTTCCTTGCAGTTGCAGATGATGATGGAGGTGTAACTTTTCCTAGTGTTTTGTTACACTCCAACTAACTTTTTAAGGAGAAAGTGATGGCTTCGTAACAAATTGATATCAAAGTTAGACTTGGGTTCACCCAATCGATGGGCCATTCTGTCTTTTTTTTAATACAAGGCCATGGAAAAACCATGTGAAAAAGGACTAAGGTCTAGTTATATTAAAAGTCACGAGGCTTATACAATCAAGGGATGGGTTGTCAAAAATAAAAATATTGAAATCTCCGTAAGAAGTCTTGTGAGTTAGAAAATTAGTGCATTTATTGGCTTTCCTATTGACATGGTCAAAGGTAACCTCCCAATCTCTCATAATAAGTTCTCTAATATTCTTGATAATCACAGAGAGTGGATAAGTATTACAGTAGCTGTTGTTAATGAGCCATAAGGCTTCCAATGAGTCTGAGTAGACATTGATTTTGACAAGATTCTCATTCCAACAAAGATTGAGTCCTTCTAAAATTTCTAAGAGCTCAACTGCTGTGCTCGAGTAATAACTAAGGTTTTTAGAGAATCCCTTAATCCAATTTCCCTTGTTGTCTCTAATAATACCACCACAGGCAGCAGCACCATTATTTGTAACAAAGCCATCGACATTGACTCTAACCCAACTAGGTTATGAAGGATTTCATTTAGCTTCATATCTGTTGTTGTTCTTGCTCAGAAGGTTGATCTTGGATTGTAACTTTAGGTCATTCATTATCTACTGCGTGCTGGAGAAGGCAATGTCAATTTCAAGAAAGTCATCCTTAAAGTAAATCTTTCTGCATCTGGCTTTCCATATATTCCAACATGTTTGGGCAAAAAATCTCTAGCAGGAAATTCTTCTAGTAATCCAACTGTCGGCTTCATTCTTAGCGTTCTAGTTTATCTAATCTTGCACATCACAAGAGAAAAAAGCATTAAATTTTGCAGGATTTACTAATTTTTTCCATACCTCTTGGGCTTCTTTGCAATCCTACAAAATATGAATAGAGGAATCAGTAAAATTACAACCAAGGGGGCATGTACGCAGCTGAGGAGTATTCATGTTAGTACACGTAATCAATGGGCCATTCTAGTGGACTATCCATGATGGGGACGTCATGAGTTGGCTGAAAAAATTGTTACGTCCCACATTAAAAGGACTTGAGAAGAGTTTTCTAAATATACAAGTGGGTGTGCTATACATCTGATTGAGTTAACTTTTTAGATAGAAAGTAATGGCTCATGATCAAGGTACGTAAAACCGGACCGGTCATTGAACCGGTTATGGCACTGGGTCACGGGTTAGTGGTTCAATTAGGGTTGAACCGGGGGTTGAACCGGTGGCAAACCGGTTATGATTAAAATAATAAAATTTAAATAAAAAGACATTAATTATAAAAATATTCAACTAAATTCAACCACTCAAAAGTCTAACAGTAATAAAATACAATATTTTAAATATCTATCATTACACTTACAACTCTTCAATCTCAAAAGTCTAGAAAAGAGATGGAAATAGAGTTGGAGAAGAGACGAAGATTGAGCTAGAAAAAAGACGAAGAGTCAGAGACTAAGCTAGAGAAGAGATGAAGATAGCAAAGACAGAGATAGAGCTGGAGAAGAGATGGAGATAGAGCTGGAGCCTGAAGAAGAGACGGAGACTAAGCTAGAGAAGAGACACTGATTAGGTTAGGGTGAGAGAGGAGAGACACAGATGAAAGGCCGAAATAAATGCTGTCTGAAAATCTGAATTGGACTTAGCGTGATCTATCTCTAATTTTTTATTTTTTAACTTTAGTTTTACTTTTTTTTGTTATCTTATTTCTAAATTCAGCACTCTGAAAAATAAAAAATGAAAAAAAAATTCAAAAAAAATAACCCGGTTAACCCAGTCTACCCACCGGGTTAACCGGATTATACCGGGTTACACCGATTTATTTCGTCACCGGTTTAGGAGTAAACCCAGACCGGACAAGGGACCGGGTCACCGGTTTCCGGATTGACCCGACCGGTCCGGTCCGGGTTTCAATACCATGCTCATGATAGTTTGCTCTTGTCGAAATCCTTCTTTCAAACCCATTTGATGTCCCCCCAAAAAAAAAAAAGAAATTTTACTCATCCTGCCTACCATTTGTTAGCTTGTTTTAATTATGAATATCAACAATATCTCTATTCTCTCTTTAAATATGAGTACTGCCATGGGTGTTCTATGAAAAAAAAAGAAAAAGCCCCTTGTGGAATTTGAACCGATGACTTGCGCCTGACCATAGTACTACTCGATCACTGAGTTAAAATAGTCCGTTTGATTCAATTGCTAAATAAGAAATTAGCCATTATGAGTCTAGTGCATATATTTATTATTCCTTATACTGGTAATTAGAATAAAAAGAGAGGCTAACTCTCTAACGAAAAATGTTAGTTACAACTACTAGATTGCAAACAAGTTTTGTTTCTCTAGATCTCAAGTATATAACGCCTTCTCTAACCAATCTTTTTTGGTCAGTTTAAGGGATCAAGTCTTAAACGCCTTTTCTATACAATGTTCAACATGAAAATTATGCAGCCAGGATTTACTAAATTTGGAAACGGCAGTGCCGTGCATGCGAAGTTATTAGCAAGGAAGATCATTTAACAGAAAAAGATTGATTAAAGCAAAAAACGATTAGAATAGTCAGGGCCAGGCAAAAACATAATCTGCAATTAACAAGGGCTTTGACAGAAGATCATACGATGGAGCATGAGAGGGTTTGACATCCAAATGGTGGCCTCACTCTATCCCAATAAAATCAAAATTCTGGGAGAGTATATTACTTGCGTGCTCAGAAGCGTTGAAGCTAAGCTTGGCCACTACTTGAGCATTTCAGCATTAATGCAATTCTAACCTAATTGATGGAAGAAATTACGAGTAACTCTACATGTAAGACTCTCTCAGGGATCCCTAGCCTAGGTATATGATGCCTATTCCCTTGAAAACATGAATTGAAAACACCTCATCATGTTCATAATTCTGACATCTGAGCATCCATCCATCCAAGAGAACACGTCATCATGCAGCTTAGTTCCCAATCAGCTATTTTGCCAACTAGTACATGTTTATGCCCCAGGCAAAAGAACTGACTCGGCAAATGAGGCAGAACCATTAGTTGGCGCGCCCCTAATCTTGAGAATAGAAGTGATCAAATTATAAATCTCAACATTCTCAAACGATGGGATTTTCCTCCCTCTTGCAAATTGAGGACCGTGTCCAATAAAAATGCTCCTCATTGAGAAAATTGAGTTATCGTAACCATGCGAACCGCCACACTCTTTGCGGTTTGTTCTTTTTTGCTCTACCTTGAAGGCTTCTTCAATCAAGCCAACTATTGGCGGAATCCTATCACTCGCAGCATAATGAAGCCGGCCAGGCAGATCCTCCTTGAGATACGCACTTAAATATTTCCCATTTTCCACTTTCCCGGATTTCAACCCTTCATTAATCTTAGAGACAACATTTGACGGGTCAATACCAGGAGGTGGGCGAATTGCAAGCAATGGAGTGTATGACTGGACCCAACTAGCTGGAATCTCAATCCAGGGAGCCAAATCATCTAAGACAATTAGCTTCTTGTCACATGTACCAACCATCCCATGATCACCCACCATAATAATATTAACATCTTCAAAAATTCCCCTTTGTTCCAACCCTCTAATTAACCTCCCGATCATCCTATCAATCCCAGCAACCGCTTCAGTGATCTCTGGATCATCGGGACCAACCTTGTGACCCTGATGATCGGGATCCTCAAAATAAAGTGTCATAAATGAAGGAATATCAGCGCCAGGCAAATCAAAATACTTCAATACGGCATCCACTCTTTCCTCAAACGGAACAGAACCATTGTAGTTCCTACAATACTCGACAGGGCAAGTCCAAGAACCTTTATTTACCTCAGAGCCAGGCCAGAAATATGTCGCGGCTTTTAATCCGTTGTTGACCACGGTCTCCCACAAGGGCTCGCCCAGCCACCACTTGGGTTCGTGGCTAGCCATCGTGAAAGCTTCACCAGTTTGAGGATCCAAAAAAAAGTTGTTGATGATGCCATGATAGGCAGGGTAGAGACCCGTCACGATAGAGTAATGATTGGGGAAAGTGAGAGAGGGAAAAACAGGGATCAAACCGGCATCGGCTTCGGTTCCGTTGGCAATTAGACGGTGAATATTGGGCGTGGAAGTCTTGAATTGGTAGCCGAATCGAAAACCATCGGAAGAGATCAAGAGAACGACGGAGTGATTGAGCTTCTGGAGAGGACGAGCTTTCGGCGCAGAGAAGGAGGAAGTGGAGTGGTTGGTGGGGGTTGAGGAGGAGGAAGCAGCGGAGAAGAAAAGGAAGGCGAAGGCGGCGGCGGCGGAGAAAGCGATGCAGGAGATGAGGGTGAGGGAGATGAAGATGATGGAATAGGAGGGTTTGCGAGAATTGAAGTCGGAGGGAGAAGAAGAATCGGTGTTGAAGGAGAGGAGAGCCGCGGAAGGAGGGTCATCTTCTTGAGCAGGTAAAGGGAGGGGCTTGGTAGAATTGAGGACGTCGGGGGAAAGATCAGAACCCATATTGGGAAGGCAGTGACGATGAGGGAGGAGAAAACCAATAGATGGACGGAAAGTAAAGAGGAAGATGGAGTGAGATGGAAGGTTGGGGGGCGTCCTGTGTGGTGGAGGATCGCTGTCATCGACCGAAAACAAGGTGGGTGGGTGGAGGACTGAGTGGGGTTGAAGACAACGCTCTTTGAAAGGGATATTCCGATGACGATCCACCGCGTGTCGCTTTGGAATTGGATCAATTATGTCGTCTCATCAACGGTAGCTGACCAATAGGATTTGAGTTTACCGTTTTCCCCCTCCAACAAAAATTTAAAAAAAAAATTAATCAAAATACGTTTTTAAATTAATGCTTTCCTAATTCTATTTATAAATTACTTTTAATATTTTTATATAAATTTATTTATTAATTTTATTTTTAAATTTAATAATTTTTTTATTTTTAATAAATATTATTAAATTTTAGTATTGGTAATTATATTCAAAACATTTAATAAGAATAAAAACAAAAAGAAGGGTATTAAAGATTTGCAAGTGTTTTATAAATACGATTAATTTTTTTTCTTTCTATACCTTATAAATTAGATCACAAGAGTAAGATGAAATAAGAGAAAATATTTATAAAAATATAGAGATATTATAAAATTTACATATCACCAAATTATGAATCACCTTTTTTTTTATAAGAGAAGTATATAAAAATATCATAAAATATGAAAATCATTAAATAATCAATTATTTTTATATGGGTAAGCAAACACGAAATAATTATTGCTTTTTATAAAATATTTATGAAATAAATCACCTTTTTATTAAAAAAATGACAATAAAATTCCTCTCAAATATATAAATGATAATTTGATCTCTCAAAATGTCATAATTCCCTTGAATTTCTTAAAAACTTTTCTGTCATTAATAAATTTATATAAATTATTAAATTGACTTTGTTAAAAATAAATAATTCACGAGTTTTGTTTAAATATTTATAACTTTTTTTATATTTACAACAATATAAGAGCAAATCATAACTTCACATGTTAAATTTTTTATCTGATATTATATTGTTATAAATATAAGAAAGAAAGTTGTAAATATTTAAATAAAACTCGTGAATTATTTGTTTTCAATAAGGACAATTTAGTAATATATATAAATTCATTAATGACAGAAAAGTCTTTAGGAACTTCAGTGAATTATAATACTTTGAGGAACCACATTGTCATTTATCTATTTTATAGGGATTTTATTGTTATTTTTCCTATATTTTATGAAAAATAATTAAATAAATGGATCCTAAATAATTAATACATTAATTAACATGTTTCTCATGGGTAGCATAAAGATTGACGATAAAAAAAAAAAAAAACTGGAGCATATTGAGGAATTCATAATCAAGGCGAGCACTTGAACAGAAGCTGAGAAGCACAAGGTATCAGCAGATGCAGATGGATAGACACGAAAGAAGCGCTCAGAAATTAACCAACCTCGGAGAGTGCAACTCCTCCAGTAGTTTGGGCTCCTAAATGGATGAGGGCCAGGTTAGCCAGACATAACACAACACCATGCATGCTCATTCTTGCCATTCTTATGCCTTCTCGAGCTTGGTTTTGCCCACACGCTGACTACTTGAACCACCATGGAGGCTGCTGGTTTTTTGTTTTCTACCGCCTCGTCACTGTTTTATCATTTTCAGCGACATGCTGTGGTGGAATATATGTACCTTGTGCTTCCTCTAGCGGAGCTCATTCATTCTCTCCCCATGATCCAACTGTCTTCTAACCTCCCATTTTAAAATAAAAAATCACCTCTCCATTATGCACGTCGCTTCTTCAACTCCACTCTTGCACAAACTTTTTTATGTTTATGTTTAAAAACTACTCTTCTGCATCATAGAAATCATACTTGATTTAAAATATAGGATATCAGGTAATTTTTATAATTGTTTTTTCAACTATATCTCTATTTCATTTATTATACTTTTTTTTTAAAAAGTGATGCATTGGAATTATAATTATCATTATCAAGATACTTATATATATAAGATATTTAATAATGGTGAAATTGAAAAAATAATTAAATATCACAAGATTTTAAACTCAGTTTGGAGCTGATTGACATCCAAAGTTCCAAAGGATATGAAATTTAAAGACATGGGTAATATTAAGGCCACGTAGGGTGAACTTAGCTATATCAAGGGCACTTAGTTTAACCATTTAATAAGGTTGACTCAACTTATTTAGGAATCTTAAGTTCGAATCATGGGTCATGTAGTCACGTAAATAAAGGGTTAAAGTGCATTTTTTTATATACTTTTCTTCGAAGGGTGTTAGGCACTCTATATTAATAAGTGGGCATTTTTTTTTCTTAAATCATTTTTTAGAGGAGCCAAAACTTCCATTATTGATCCATTAAGTGTGCCTTTTTTTTTACGTGGCATATCCTTTGATATTAATTTGTCCTTAACTCTTTTTATAAAAGCATTGGGCACTCTAAAGTTTTGTTAGAATAAAATTTAATTAGTATTATAAAAATATTTAACATTTTAATAATTAATTTTAAATATTTATTAAAAATTTATAAATTATGTTTTAAATATTAATAGCTCAAACTAGTTTTTCATAAATGTATAGATGACTTATAAATTATGTGTGAAGATTTGTAAATAATAATAATAATAATAACAATAATATTTTCAAATAAATTATAGAAAATGACCTTATGAGATAATTAAAAATGATTAAGTCCTCTAAATATTTTAAGTTATTTTCTGTAATTTTTTGTTCGTATAAATGGTCTTTCTCCAGAGTTTTGTACCACCCAAATTTGATATTTTATAACTTTATATTGAAAAAGAGAGAATGAAATTCCAAATAAATTGATAAAATTAATATTGTATTATTGAATTTGTAATTTATTTTTTTAATTTTAAAATTTAAAACATGCTTCATTATATAAAAATATCAATTAAGAATAAGTGACACTTCAATTCTAAATATCCAATAATTTGATCATTAGTTGACTAAAAAAATAAAAAATTTAAGAAATTTAATCAATACTAATTTTTTAAACTATCATTTTCTTAATAAATATTAAAAAATTTAATAATATTTATTAAATTTCTTTTAACAAAATTTAGAGTATCTAATACTTTTATAGAAAGAGTTTAAAAATAAATTTACACCAAATGACATGCTATGTTAATAGAAAATGACAGAGTTAATGGATCATTAAAGAGGGAGGATTTTTACTCCTATAAAAAATAGTTTGAAAAACCTCGCTTATCAATATAAATGCCTATCGTTTCTAAAAAAATACAAAAAAAATACACTTTAACCCTTAAAGAAATATGCTAGCAAAAATATTTTTGAGGTACACCATCGGAGTTGCAATTGATAATAAAAGTCCCCCACGATAAAGATTTGGATTAGCTCAAGTGAGATGTGGTAATATTCTATTTTTTTCAGGACATTGGATAATGAAATAAGAAAAGGTTAAAGTTCGGTGGGCTTTTTCTTAAAAAATCAAGGCACCACGCTTATACAAGGCGTCTCGCATATAAGCAAAAAGCAATTAACTCACTTGGCAAGAAAAGTTGTTAAAATTAAAGCCGTCATTATATCCCCAAAATTATATTTGTAAATTAATTTTTAAGTTAAGAATTATTTTTATTCCTGCTTGAAATCATAAAGTTTAAAGTTAACTGTCAATCAATTTTATTGTTGAACTTTAAAATCCGAATCCCCAGGTTAAATCTCCTCTTCCATTGTTAATGGGTTCCACTCGCTAGCATATTTTATATTTTTTTGACCCATCTCTCCCTCCCACATCACTTGTCTCTCCCCCTCGCTCAATTCTCTCCCCCTCTCCCTGCTCGTAGCAAACTCCGGCCATGGATTTGGTTTGATGAACCACAACACACAGTCGTGCATGGACCAGAACAAGGGATGATCGACAGCGTTCCAGGGATGAAGGCGCTTGACGATGGAGATAGTGCCTGGCATGATCGTCACCCTGCATCAAATTAGTCGGTCTTGAGTACTGCCTTGGAACAATATGGAGCTAGGTAGCTTGATCCTTCAGCATTTATACATTGGGCAAGGAAGATACACCATGTCAGCTTACTTGCTAGCGTACCCCTGAGGTTACATCTCCCTCTTCCTGAGGTTAATGGCGGTCATGACCAGTGTTTTTTCTATTGCATGATTACATCTTTTACTATTGCGACGATATCTTCCCTTGCAATTAATCAAGTTATGCAATTATTTCATCCTGAGGTTAATGGCTCAAACCGGATTGATGACAAGGCCCTGTCTGAAACTGAAGAGAACCTTTTCCTCAATGAAATTAAAACACCAATGGATGCCACTTACAAAAGTTTAGCGATTACGTGTGTGACTCTCGCGAAGTAGATGGAAATAAAGGCCACATGGTTATATTAATTATTTTGAACGAGAATTAATTGATGTCCAGAGGCACTAAACTACTGATTAAGCATTAAATGGTTAAATAATATTAAATATGTTACTAGTGTTTTTGGAAAAAAAAAAAATCTGTAACAATTTTGGGTTTGCATGTGTGTGTGTATAACTTCATATTTGATTTTAGGTTCATAGCCATAACTCTAACTGCATTCAAAGAAGCAAGACAGCGTGTGTGTCTAGAGAGAGAGAGAGAGAGAAGAAACAACAGCACCACACGGTGGTTTAGAATAGTGGTTTTCTTATTTTTCCTTGTTTTACCGGTGGAAAGAGATAGAGGTGAGCGCAAATTCTGAGAGCAAAATGACTTGCTGCATTTACAAACAAAACAGTTTCATTACGTCGACATGGACATTCATTGGCACCATACAGACCCAACGACAATGAGAAAAATGGATTGAGTCGAAAGAAACTCCGACTGTCTAAGGAGGAGAGAGAGGGGAGAGGGAGAAGGAATGGAGGAGAAGGTGGAACATGCAGAGACTCGGAAGAACATGCAGAGAAAGTGGAACAAGCGGTGAAGGTATGAAGGAGAGAGAGTGAAGTCTTGGAAGGATCCCATACGTCGAGGGAGAAGAGGTCGAAGATCTTTGTGCTGCGACACGTCATCACCTCCATCTTTGGCACCATGAAGTGTGGCATAAGAATTCAGAAGAATAGTGGTGGACATGATGACTATCTCAGCGCTTTCAGTGCCCAAAATTTCGACAGCACGGACGTCATCGCCCTCTGCGGCGCCCACAAATTCGACCGCTCCCACTGGCTCCTTCGTTGACAGGATCTCCCCCACCGTTGAACCCACCATGGACCCTTCCTTCCCTGTACGTAGTTGAGTGTGTTGACGAGGGCATTCGCCACATGGGGGAGCAGAAGAGAGTCACCATGATTATTATCTATTACCGTTTCTCATGCAATGGAGGATGGAAGTCCAGGAAGAAGAGATTGGGAGTGGGAGACATGAGCTCCGGAGTTTTACGAGTTTTACCGTTTCGCATCACTTGATGAGCACCGCCGTGCTCATCTCTGGACCTATCCAGATTTTATAAATTTTATTTTTTAATTTTATTTTATATTTATTATAAAAAATTATAAAATTTTAATAAATCTACCTTATTATCAATATAAATAATACAGATTTAATTTAGATGGTCTAATTTAATATTACTTTTTAAAAAAAATTATAAATTGACTATCCAAATGTACTCTAGACATACTAGATCCAGAGTGCATCTGAATAATCAATCTATAAAATTTTTTTAAAAAAAAACTAATATTAAATTGAACTATCTAAATTAAATTTGTATTGTCTAAATTTATAATAAATAAAATTTATTAAAATTTTATATTTTATAATTTAATAAAAATATATTAAAATATAAAAATAAAAATAATAAATCTGGACCTTTTAAATTAAAAATTTAAATAGTTTAGATTGCTCATCAAGTAACGAGCAACGATAGGACTCATCACCTGATGAGTGCCAAAACCAAATGTAGAGTTTAGGTGAAGAGAGAAGAAGATAGAGAATGGGGATGGTGCAAGAGAATGGGTGGGCTCACATTTAAATATTTTATAATAAAAATATTAAAAAAATCAAATATGAGACCCACTATTATATTTTATTATTAAAAAATATTTAAAAAATTCATGTGGGCTCCATTAACAAATAATTAATGCTAAATCAGAAAAAGCAAAATTCTGAGGTTCAGAAATAAAATTGAACCCAAGTTAAATTCAAAGTTATTTATGAACTTTTATGTATAGTTTAAGGATAAAAAATGATCCTTAATTTTTATTTTTTTCCTCCTAAAATGTCTCTCATTTATGCCACAATGTTTACTCATCAGATGATATTTTACTTATTTAATGCCAACAAGTTCAACTGTTCAAGTACTCATATCAAATGAAAAGGGTAAAAGGATCAAGGTGTAAATTTAGCCCTTAATTATTTCTCGATGATTACTGGGTAGCTTAAACTATGAAATTGTGCAAAATAAATCATCAACTATCAAATTTCAGTGCATCCCTTGCCTACCATCAATTTCTCACCAATATTCATTTTTTTTTAAAAATATGGGATCCAAACATTCTCTCTCTCACTTTGCTTCATCCACACTTTCATCACTCTCATACTCTCTCTCCACTTTCGCCATATCCATCTCTCTACAACATGGCTAACATCCTCACCTAATGAAGACTGGTGATTGCCACTACTAGAGGAAGATGACAATGAGTTCTCACTTGTGGTATGATGATGTCATTTTTGGTGAACATTGACATTACCACCCATTGAATTACTGGAAGTAAAAGAGAAGCTTAAGGAGCAAGAGAGAAGGAGATTACATTCACAATGCTTTTGTCTTCAAGACTTTTGTTGGAGATTGAGGTAGGAATTGAAATTCCTTAGCTTGGTAAATGCCATATGAGGTGGTGGAGGTGGTGGGCACCGTCTGACAAGAGAGTGATATCAGCTTTGATGGCCGACCAATAAGGATCAGAGGCTCAATGTGGGCGGAGGTAAAGTGCAAAAGAGGAAGTTATGGAGATGGTCTTGAATGCATGAGAGAGAGAAGAAAAAAGACAGCAGAGTTGTCGCCTTCAAGAGGCTCAAAGACGCTTAGATTGGAGGGAAGAAAGAGTTCGAGCAACACATGAAAATTCTAGGAAGGTTGAGACACCCAGCCATTGTTAATCTGAGAGCTTACTATTTTGATAAGGACAAGAAGTTTCTAACCTCCGATTACATACCCAATGGAAGCTTGTTCTAACTTTTTCATGCCATAAAGATGAAGAACGTCGATCATGCAAGAGTTCTTGGGTCAAAGAGAGAGAGAGATGCATTCTGAAAATGTGAGAGAGAGAGAGAGAGAAATTAAATTAATGTGAGCTCTACAATTTTAATAAATGCCCGCTTGTTAGAAATTGATGGAAAGTGCCAGCTGCTTCAATTTTTATAGTTAATAGTTTATTTTACACTACTTCATAGTTTAGGCTATCCAGTGATCCTTGAAAAATAGTTGAGCGCTAAATTTACACCTTAATTTAATAAAAAAAAATATCTTTAATTAATGGAGATGATAGAGATAGAGGGTGCTTTTTTATTTGTACTTGAAATACAAGCCCCTTTGAAATTTGGTTATATTATATATGGGATTTAGATCCTCCAAAATTGGGATTGGTTAGGTAAAGTTTTCATATGTGGTGCTAATCAGACTTCTAATCTGTATTTTACTTATTCCTCTACTATATAATGTATTCTTATTAACTCTTTCTTTGTAATTTTTTTTATCTTTTTTTCCGAATTGCTAATATACATATATTTGATCTTTTTTATCCCAAAAAAAGTGAAGTTTTCATTTTTCTAGTGTTTTTCAATTATTTTATTAATTTTTGTAAAATATAAAATATTCTCTTAAAAAAATTTATAAAAAATCACCAACCCCAGCTTCAAAGCATTTAAATCCTTACAATAGATATGAAACTGGAGAGTGCGGATCAAAATCATAAATCCTACAAAATGTCATTACTTAAAATGCGTTTAGTTTAATGGGAGGAAAAGGCAGGGAAGAGATTTGTTTAGGTTGTAAAAATAGAGAAGAAAGGAGGGAAGTCTTTTTAAGATTTTACCTCCCCTCCCCTCCAAACCCTATTCCCCTCCAAAATGGGAGGTGAGGAGGGGAGAGGTATAATTTTATTTTATTAGGACTAATATATCCATACTATATATATTATGATAATTTAAAAATGCCTATCCTTCCTTGTTGCCATGTGCTCCTTTATTCAAGTTGCATCCCTCCCCAAATCTTATGCCGCCATTATTGCTCCCTCCTTTCAGGTCATTGTCCATATGGAGATTAGATTTTTCTGTTTAGGCCATCGTTCGAAGTTGCCAAGGCTTTTTCCTATTCTGGTACAAATGAGGTTACCGTTGTTGAACCATCTGAGAATCGAAGACTTGAACTAAGGGAGATCGGATTTCCCCCCGCCTTTTCATTTTATTTTTGCTGTTCTTTTATATGTTAATAAACTAACTGCATCCTCATACCTTTGTTTTCTGAACTTTGAAATAAGTTATTATTGTATATGTTATTGGCAATATATATATATATATATGAACTATGGATAATCAAATACTTGTAATTATATAATAAAAATATTCATAACTATATTTTATTAGGAAAAAAATAATTTTATTAAGATGAGGGTAAAGTTTTCTTTATATATTTATTTCCCTCCTCCCCTCCCCTCCAGAATCAAATAAAGTATCATCCCTTCCCTTCATCAAAATTCCTTCCCTCCCCTCCACTCCCCTCTCCTCCCTTCCCGTCTGACCGAACAGATCCTTAGAGGTGATACATTGCCGTTTGCTATATGTACGACAGTCACATAAATAAGCAGTGCTCCGCATGGATGAGGGTGTTTTATGGGTACAATGTATCAAGTAGACTAGTACGTACACTTGCAATATGAGAGGTGGCAAAGCTTGGGATCGTCTCTCTCAATTGTACGTGTCTCAGTAACTAGGAGAGAAGCCATGCTTTGCCACCATTTATGTTGAATTTCTTGACCCTTCCGAAGATCATGACGACTATCAGGATCAACTTTCCTTTGTTACTCCATCTTCCAGCAAACCCAACCCACTTTTCTCTGCACTTCCCATCTGCAATCAATTGCCTTTGGCAGCTATATCCCATTGAGAACCCCACGTTTCCATATGCGCTGCATTTTATTGTTAAACTTTTGTCAATTTAACACCCCATGTTTCATCTATGTATACATAATTAAGCTGATCAAATTTAACCTCACTTGCCTGATTACTTCAAGGGTGATGTTGAACACATTAAAGTTGAGGGGATCTTCTCTCAAGCTTCTTCTCTCCGTGATGCAAATCAGTATAATAAACATAACCAAGTAAGATAGTTGAGAGGACACGAGACACTCCTTTAGGCTTATTTTCTGTTTCCTGTCATTTTCGGGTTCCCTTATGGGCAAAAATGTCGTGTATGGTGGCAGGTACCTGCAGTTTATTTGAAAAAGAGAATATATATATATATATAAGTCAAATTCTGACATTGTTTCTCCAAATGGATTATCTTCTTTCATGTACATACACAGCCTGCACACAAAGCCTCGTGGAACAACAGAAAGGTCCATTGTGAAAACCGATATAACATGAAAACAATATTTACACTTCCAAAATTCTAGAAAAAGACTAATCAAGTATGAGTTTAACTAGACCTTCAATGAACTATGGGTAAAAACTTGTATTGTATGTGGAGTTACTGTTTCAGAAGAAAGAAAAACAGATTTTATATACACTATTTCTTCACGGAAGTGAGCTGGGAGAGTAATGAAATGTCTTACATCATGACAACGAAGAGCACCAGAGTGGCGGAAGAGAGAGTAGAAAGATCGAAAACAGATTCACCGGCATGTCTGGCATTCGAAATTTGGAACAGCGATGAAATTAATTTCTGATAGCTGTTTTGACCCTCCATGTTCTCCGACCTCCACTCCATGCAGCAGAACAGAACCAACTGTGTCAGATTCAACCCCAAAACAGTAGCTACAAGGCACAAGCAATGAACACCAGAGAGCATGTGATCATAGCCCATCTCCTCATAATTCTTCTGAATATAAGAGAACTCTTCTCTTTTGGTAACCCTCTCCAGAACCCACATCACAAGCCTCAAGAATGGAGGGTAGAGGGTGCTCCCGAGAAAAACATATGGCAAAAGAAGTAACAGCAGACCGGGGTTCTGCTTGAACACGAACATGTTTTCGTTTATGGGCACAAATCCACAACTGGCAAAAGTGGAAACCACGGTGAAGACAGAAAATGTGCGCATGTTGATCCTTTTGTTTCTCAGTACCTGTCGTGCACTTGGGACGATGCTCATGTAGGACCAGACCAAACCGGAACCAAGCAAGTGAAGTACCGTAAGGTAACCCAAGACCACAAGCCCAAGAAACTTAACGGAGTTTTGCCTCAGTCTGCCCATGCCATCATTTTGAGCCACATTTGTATCGCCGCTATCTACAGCAAACATCTCATTCTGTTTGTGCACAGAAACTAAACCGATCTCGATTTGATGGGTACTTGGAATTGGAGGGTTGTGTTTGAGTGGAAGAGGGTTTAGGGTGTCTTTAAGGCTGTGTTTCCGAAAGACATTGGAGGAAGAAAATAGAAGGGCGAGCATGGAGGTGAAAACCTCACCGCCAAGTAACATGAGGAAGGTTATGAGAATGAGCTGGGAATTGGAGAAAGCCTCCATTTCAACCACGCTCATGCTGGAGACAGTTGATGCCGAAACGGAGGTGAAGAAGAGATCAAAGTCGCTGGGGGGAACAGGGATCGTGGGCTTTGAGAACTTGAGAGCAAGGAAACCAAAGAGAGAGACGATTATGAAGTACAAGAGTTGGAGAAAAATGGGGCTGACGAGGAAGGGTAGATGAGAGGAGGGATGATGCAAGTTTTTGAGAGGAGAAGAAGAAGGAAGGCGCGTCATGCTTGGAAGGAGGAGTGGAAGGAGGAGTTAAGTGGAAGGGAAGGGAAGGGACGAAGTGTGAATGTGGGGTGGGCACTGGGGGTGTGTGAGGTAATGGCAATATCGAGGTAGGCATCCTGTTAAATATCGAGGTTTTGAAAGGATGATCAATGATGCATGGTGCAACGTCGGTTCAAGTTAATTCGCCTACGTGCATTTCGCTTTAACCGCATTGACTAAAGATTTTGGATTACCCGCAATTTAAAAATATATAAAATATTTTTTAAAAAGTTAGGTGTTAAAAAAATATAAAATATTTTTAATTTTTTAAAGTATAATCATTAAAAAATATCCTAATAAATAAATTATTTTATATTTATTTTAGAGTGTTTGCAGGGTAAATATAAAAAAATAGGATTAATTTAAAATAAATAACTATTTTGTTGAAAGTGAGATTGAATTAAAAATATTTTATATTTTTTAATAAGAAAATACGTGTCATTATTGTATTCATTCACTTACATGATATAACTGCAAACGGTTGAACAGTTTAGGTTTGGTTTACTTGCTCATCATACATGATGAGATTTGAACCATTCAAATTTGAATTTAGATGGTTCAGATTTAAAATATTATTTTATATTTTTATTTATATTTATTAAAATTAAAAATTATAAAATAATTTTAATAATTTTTATTTTTAATTTGATCTAGATTTAATTTAAAGGGTTGAATTTAATATTAAAATTTTTATAATTAACATATATTCACTATCCAAATGTACTCTGTATGGTCTATATTAATCTGAACTGAATTTGAAATGTGCAGAGTGCATTGAAACAATCAATATAATCTGAACTATATAAAGTATATCTGGACAATCAATCTATATTAATTATAATATTAAATTAAATTTTTTAAATTAAATTTAAATCATATTAAAAATAAAAAATTATTTTATAATTTTTATTTTAAAATAAAATATATAATAAAAAAATTTAAATATGAACCACCTAAATTAAAATCTGGATGGTCCTGAGCAAGAAACCAATTCCGAACGGTTTAAGGAGTCGATCTGAAAGAAAAGAGAAGAAAATATTCGAGCGCGTGGGGCCTAGCAGATGAAAAAGCTGCTCCACAATGATTCCAAACGAATTTTGAAGAGATCCTGCGGAAAAAGACTTACAATTATACGGGCTTGATCTTTTTTACTTGGTTCTATCAAGAATTGAAAAGGACGGGGGAATGAGAAGAAAATTAGAGCGTTCACACTGTTCAACAGTATTCATAAAAAGAACACACATACAGTGCGTGAAAATTGTCGTACAAATTAAAACTATAACTAATTAGCAGGAGATTTGATAGTGAAACGGGAGCAGGCGCATAAAATATTAGAAATGGGGAATCAGACCCCACGTCAAAGATATTGGAAACATTTTAAAAACAAGTGTGGTGCGCGCTGTGCAATTAATTTATATTAGTGAAGGACAGAAAGGCAGAGACAGAGCTTGAGTCTCCAGAAAACATGAACAACCGCGCATTTCACACGGTGTCATTCCCATTTTACTTTATTTCTGTGAGCACTTGTTTTCCGCCTCATTCTCCCCAGTGTGCTGTGTCAATCACAAGTGTGGGGGAAATTTCACATAAATTATGCAACTTATTATTACTACCGTCAAATGTGAATTTCCTATGTATCATCCTCCACATTCCCTTCTCTGGCGTCAGATCGCATCGCAGGAACCAACTCCATGCTCTCACATCTCATGACATTTACCCCCTTGAAATTTAATATCCACCGTTTAGATTTAAACATTTTAACTTATGTATATATATTTTGTTAAAAATTAACTTTTATAAATTGCCAATTGGAAATTATCTTTGTTTTATTTTGTAGTTACCAAAGGGTTAAATGATACCCCTTAAATATTTGTTTAAAAGCACCTAATATCCTAAATTTTTATACAATGCAATTTCCTTCTTTAATTATTAAAAATGATACATTAAGCACCCTACCGTTAAAAAAAAGTTAGGAAAATTTAATCATTTGATTCTTATATTTTTAACTTAATTTTTAAATTTTGACTCATTGTAATTTAATTTTTATAGTTTTAACTTAATTGTAACTCAGTCTTTAAACTTTACCTCTTGCAATTTAGTCCTTATAATTTCAACTACTTAAATATTAATCACTATATTTTAAAAAATTAAATTATAAAGATTAAAAATATTTAAAATTTTAATATTTATAAGGATTAAAAGAGTTTAGTAATATGAAATATTAGAAATAAGTTTTAACATCATTTTAATATTTATAATTTTATTTTTTAAGATACAAGGATCAATATTTAAATAGTTGAAACTATAAAAATTAAATTGTAAAAATTGAAGTCTAGGGATTGAGTTACAATTGAGTCAAAACTTTATGGACTAAATTATAATGAGTTAAAGTTCAAGGAATGAGTTATAATTAAAAACTATAAGGATCGAATGATTAATTTTTTTAAAAAGTTAATAACAAGGTACTCAACACATCATTTTTAAAAGGTGAAGGGAGAAATTGCACCACATGAAAGTTTAATATATCATATGCTCCTGAGTGAATAGTTAAGAGACAAAAATACCTTTTAATCCTTTACCAAAATAAAAATTTATAAAATTTTTGATAAATCTATTCATTACCAATTTACATATAGTTCATATTTAATTTGAATGGTATAAATTTAATATTAAAATTTTGTATATTGTTTATAAATTGATTGTCCAAATTTACTCCGAACGATCTAGATTTAATGCTAAAATTTTTTATAATTTTTTTAAAAATTAGGATAATTTTCTAATAGATACTTTTAAAAAAATGACTTCTTAAAAAATTATAAATTAAAAGTTTTAAATCCAAAAACCTATATATCACTTCCAAGGTGACGATCACTAAAGTGGGTCTCATCAATCACATCCTCTCTTCATTTGTGTGACTGTAAGATCTCTCACTACTATTTTGCTTTTGGATAATTTTTATAAGTATTTTTTTAAATATATCCCTAATTTATTTATTATTCTTTTTAAAAATATGATGTATTAGAATTTTAATTATCATTATCAAAACACATATATAAGTATTTATTTAGGGCATAATTGAAAAATTTGTAAAATTTTTTTTAAGAAATTAAAATTTCAAGTAATATTTTTTCAGAGCCATGAATTAATTAATTACTAATATCCTATATTGTAGTCCAAAATAAGTCACATTCTTAAAAAAACTGTTATTTTAAATATAAGTCATTTTGTAAAAACTTGTGACTTTATGGAGTATTAATTACTCCCTCCATCCACATAGATATAAGAGGTTTTTTAAAATTTTTTCTTTCATAAATATAAGAGGTTGTTGGCATATTTTTTATAAATGGACCATTATATCCTTATTACATTGGAAAGAAAAAAGATAAATATTCTTATTAATTTAATTTAAAAAAATAAATTCATATTTTTTATTTACAATAATTAAGAGTAAAATTAAAATGTTGTTGTGTTTTTAAGCAAATAAATAATTTTTATTGGTTTTTGTGATTCAATTAAAAACCTCTTATATATAAGGACGGGGGATATTTTTTTGAAAAAAAAAATAGTTGCCCTTTCTCCTCAATATTCAATGAGGAGATAGATTGTGTTTGTTTTTAAAATTTATGGTATTTGTTATGGTTGAAAATGGAAATCAAAGCAATTTTTAGACTCTTTTAATGATGTAACCCATTGATATTTAATGTAAGGCAAAGTTAATTAACTTTGTACTTACTAACAAATGGTAATTATATCCTAAAGTTGTTTTAAAAAAAGTGTGTAACTTTTTTTAAAATTTTTTATCCATCTTTATAATTAATAACCATGATAAATTCCTCTCTAAGAATTCAAACCATAATAGAAATAAGGGATAACGCTGGAAAAAAAATTAATTATTTTAAGTTTGCTTTATATTAAGGATAAAAAATTTTCAAACGTTGTCTTAATTATATTAGGGACAGGAGAGAGTAAATAATTTTTCTTGATTCCTGACTAAGAACAAAGATGTTTATTATCGAAAGTAGTTATAAGTTACTTATGATAAGAATGAGAGGGAGCATCTTTTGTGTGTTAATGTTATGTTGGTCCTCCCTATAACTAAACCCTCCCAATCAATCTTCTTACTATAGTCTAAGTCTATCATATATTTCTTCATGCAGTCTAAAACATAAGTTACTTTTAACTATTTTTACAAGAATTAAGGAAAGTTGTTAAAAATGGTTTGTATAAATAAGTAATAACTCATTACTTTTCAAGATCATCCTTCAATTAAAATCAATTTATCTTAATTATCTTTAATTTATTTTTTATAAAATCTCTCTCTAAATTAAATATAAGAATATTTGTTGAGAATAATAAGTTAATACTATTAATTTTGTTACTAGAGTGCCTTATATTTTGGATGAGAGGGAGTATTTTTTTTTTTTGTCTTTTTTGTTCTGGTTATTTTTGTTGGTCTTCATGCCTATTAGTCTTCCTCTTTTATTGAGATATGATAATTTTACACACACACAGATATTAAATTTCAATAAATGGATATGACAAATTGGGGATAAAGTGCTCAGTCACTCAAAAATTTGTTGGTTTCTTCACAGTGATACGAGTTGGCACATTCCCCACACTTGCCTCATTTCTTTTGCTACATTTCACCTCTCCTTCCTCCTTTTTCTCTGCTTTTATTTCCCTATCCATCCACCATCTTCCTTCTTCTAAGAATTGCAAAGATTGCATATCCGTTATAATTCATGTTTACACCTCACTTGATGTGTCGTTTCTAACCATCATTTTGGTTCCTTAATTCTAATTGGTTACTTCACTGAAGATAAACTTGAGAAATATTTAGTCAGTGCGCCCGCACATTATAGATTTGTTTTATCAATAATAATTCCATTATGGGGAATGATCACGCTCTATATATGCTTATTTCCTTCTTAATTAATTATAATACTTCGGCATGTTAAAGAGGAAGTGGCAAAATA